GGTACGATATACCTGATCTCGTGTAACAATTGCGGAGATGAATATATTGGCGAAACGGGCAGACCTTTGTGTATCCGTATTAAAGAGCACCTAGATGGCAAACGAAAACTAAGACGAAGCACCCCACTAGGCACGCATAGGATACAAAAGCATAGCGGAGACGATTTTGAAGTGAAAGTCAATATCCTTGCACAGGAGTCCAAAACACCAGCGCGAAAACTCCTAGAGGCTTTTTGGATCAATGCCAAAAACCCTACAATGAATAGCAGGGACGAATGCCCGGAGATCATACGCGACCTGATCCCGTACGTTCGCATCGATTTTTGATGTGGGATGGTGCAGTCGTCAACCACATGCGACTATAATCAGCTGTTCTAAACTTCCTCATTGGAAGTCACGAAAAAGCGGTGGGTTTTTCGAGATGTTGTTGATCATGTAATTACCATAGAGTGTTTCGTCTTTTTGTAAGTGTTATTGAAGCCTTTGGCCTAGTAGATTGTATATCAGTATACCCTTCCAGGCTCTGAAGAAGGCGATAGTGCCGAAACGTCAGCTAGCGTTGTATTGTATTGTGTTTTTATGGAAGTAAATGTATGCTGTTTAAAAACCTCGCGATTGCTGAACAAGAAAACGACACATCTTGAAGAGTATACTTACTTACTTAGATGGAATAGTGTGAACCCCAACACTTTTTCATTTGTCTCTTTTTCACGCAGTCGTCATCCATGGCGGTGGTCCGCTTCTAACATGATGAGGTCCGCGAGGGACATTCCGTGATATATAAATCGTTTCCATCCACAGATGTAGGAAGCAACGAACACGGTTGACCGTCGTATAGGAGGTTGTCTGAGAGGACACTCATAGATCCCACTCCAGTGTTCTTTTCATCCATACGCCATTTGTTCTTATTGTATAACCTACCCATCTATGTCTGTCAATGTGTACTCTACTGGGTCTCGAAGATAGAATAAATAACTGATAGTAATTATGTGATGCAAAAATAGCGCAATTAATGCCTTCAAGATCTTCAACTCGAAGCATCTGGTTCAATGTTTGTTTTGATGGCAACGTGTTTTCTGCTTACTGACAAATCCATGTCCCAAGAATGAAAGAATGTTATTTAGAAAGATTTTTCTGTCGACGATCCGCTTAGGACGGCAATTACGACCGTACGCACGTTGGGGATTCTATGGATTTCCATACTGCAATTATGATGCGGGAAATTCTTCTACAAACATGTTATGTAACGAACTCTTCAGGGAATACAACAATAAGTGAGTCGAGCTTTTTTCTTTTACGACTAACAAAACGTTGAAGCTGGTGATAAAAAAAGCATAAGACACAATATGGCAAATTTGTAATTCACTAAGTGCATAGGAGAGCTTTGCTTAGCCGATTTCTCCCATAACATCTGCTTTGGATAAGCTATTGAACGATTACAAAGATCCCAGTAAAAAAGCCTTTGTGGAATGAATTAAAGAACCGAGTGTGAAGCATGTCATATATGACTTATACCGGCTAGTTCACCTGGAAACGTGTGACTCATGTATGAATCACGTTGTCGCTAAATTGTTAAAAAATTTTACTGTTTTAGACAATAGTTCTCCAGTAACACTTCTAACCTAAAGAATTCAGAATGTCGTTCATATTTGAAGCAAGCACCGCTCTATTTCCTTCAATCTATCTAAGTCTAAAGGGTACAAGCCTTCAAAACTACCACTATATACAGGTATCCTTACATTTTCAAGAAAGAATTGTAATCTCACACTACCATTGAATTATGACAAGCCACTGATTTTCATATCTTTTTTGTGAGGTAGGGTCATTTAACGTCGTCACATTAATCGATGTAATTGTACAACAGGCGATAATGGTGGAATCGGTTCGTATTGCTGATCTTCAGAATCCGAAGCTTGACATCTACCCATACACCAAGTTTGAATACGATCCATATACAGTTTTCGATTCATTTTACGTCAAAGTAAGTTCGATCGAGATTTCCGTTGCACTTACATTTTCCACCAACTATTCAATTATCTACTCATCCATACCTCATTGACATGTAGCACTTTGGTTAGAGCTTCCCAGCGATGCACAACGCGGACGTTGTTTAAATCCTACGCCTCGAGAAAGCCAAGCTCTTCAGTCTGCTGGAGCCAATAGATTGATATCACCGGTTAACCGGAGCTGAACCTATTATCGTTTATGCTTCATCCTTTAGTTCGCGTTAAACTGACTGTACTTATTAGTAGAGTTCTTTAGATGTCTGCTGTCTTGGCGCCTTTGATCGGTGTTCACCACCTTAGCTGGCTTTGTGTGGCAACAAGAAAGTGAAAGAAAGAGCCAGAATGATTGTTACGTGAATGAATGATTTGAAAAGAATGATTGTCTAGGTGTTTTGGTGATCTCACGGCTTTTCCTCCGTCTTTCATGCGAGGTTTTTTCTGTCTTAAGTACTCGTTGTAGAGCGTTGGCATGTATCTGCCATGAACCGTGCTCTAGCTTTATGAATTAACACTGGACCAACGCTTGAATTCGATTTTGTTGGCAAAGGAAATGAGTGGATATCCACTCACACCATTCTCTAAGTGTCAAAGGGAAATTTTTTGCTTGCGAATAACTTTCTCCTAATATTTTCTTCTACAGAAGGATATGTGCAATTCCCTGAAACAAGCTGCTGATCTAGGAGCACGTGGAATTATACTTTGGAGCACAAGTAAGAACATGAAACAACGTTGTAGCGGACTCGCAGATTACGTTCGCAATTCGCTTGGACCGTGAGTTCTCTTAAGGCTTCCCGTTCTTCATCTCTTGAAAAATATCGTTTTCTGACTTCAGTACGTCAATTCTGCCTAGCTCTTTGTCAATTAATCTGTTTTGGAAAAGAATATTATAGTAATGAATAGTGAGAAAATTAGCTAGCGTTACAATTGATCGATGGTTAACAGCATTTTCAACAGACTATTAGTCCGACAAATTCACTAATGTTGGCTTAATTGAATGCTCTCTAGAAAATGATCACTTTAAAATGCTTAGTGACTATGTTTCCATATTTTGTGCGAGCGCATGTAGCACTGTGGTGAATGTTGTAGTAGTAAGTAGCAACATCGTACCCTCCAGTAGCAACATCGTCAATGGTTCGACCCCACGCTCTCAGCAAGCTAAGTCCTGCACCTCTACGAGGTGGTAAGTATGGTATCATCTGTATTACCTGTTTTCCAGTTGGTCGTCGAGTGACTTGAACGGGTGCCAATAAATCGGTCAGTTCTCCCTGTCGCGTGCAAAAGTAGCCAAGTACATTCTGCTCCGTCGGTCGACTTGTTGGTTAACCATCACATCTTTTTTTCTAGAGTTTTCGTGAAGAACTTTGATAATCGAGGTCGGCGGTCTTCTTGTAGAACGTTTGTCATTCCTTTCATCTCCTGATCTTTCATCCTCTTTACGCCGCGACCAGGTTTCTGAAGCATAAGTTAAGGCAGGAAGAATCGTGTAGTAGAAAAGATGGACACGGAGTTAGGTGTTCTTTGCTATCCACACTAGGTTCCTTATACTTCCGAAAGCCCACCAGGCCGCTTGCTTCCTCCTGCTCAGCTCTGGAACTAACTCACTCATCTTGTTGATTTTCCGACTTTGTTAGTCGAAACTGGAACATTCAGAGATATTCATTCCGTTGAGCCTGAATAGGGCATACGTAACAAACTCGTTTTTCACGAACATCCTTTTGCGAGATTTAGTCACAGACTATTCTCTGTACTGGCTTTTTCAAAATTGGCAGGCATTAGTTCCGTTTAGCTATGCTGTTATACTGCTACGCTTGCTGTTATAAGAACGATGTCTTCAGCAGAACGAAGATGATATAGTAGCGCTGTCCATCGATTTTCACTCCCATGTTGTCCTATTCCATTGTTCCGATAACGTTCCCAAGGGTAGCAGTAAATATTTTTGGCAAGATGGTTTCGCCTTGCCAAACTCCTCTTTTGGCGTCGATGTTAAAATCGCTGTAGAATGGCAATATTTTGGTTGTGACATTTTGTTATGGATCACGAAGAGCACCTATATACTAATTGGGGACTCTGCGCCTCTGCACCGCTTCTATAGCTACTTCTATCTCAGCTAGTCAAAAGCCTCCATTAGACTGATGAACATGAGAGAGCGGTCTCTTGTACTCTCGTGATACTTCAGATGAGTCTCGCTATCGGGATGTGGTCCATCGCACTGAATCCTTTTCGTAATCCACCTTGCTCAAATGACTCTCATTCGTCCATTGTTCTGTCAATTCTGTTTAGGATGACTCAAGTGAACAGTTTATAGACGGCAGAGAGCAAGCAGATTGAGCGACGATAGCTGCCGATATCGTGGAGGTCACCCTTCTTAAGCAATAAGACAATTTTGTTGGCCTCCTACTGAATGGTAACTCTGCACTCTGACAGTTAACTGTGTGAATTGAATAAATTCTACTTTATGGTGGTTTTGCGACTTCGTCTTTTAAACTTACCAGCTCTTTTTTCCGCGAGAAATGAAATCTTGTGCGGAGGCAATAGTCTGACCTTGTTTAAATTTTTGGATAAAAATGACATGAATTAGGCAGCTATCGGTCCACTCTGATGTGATATACTTCGTTCTGGTACTTTCTATTGGAAGACTCTCACGTTCAGCCTCAAGAGTGGGGCTTCTAGAAATGCAAGCTACCATGGTCTCGGTTGTCATGATAAGCTCATGCAGACGCTTACCCTGCTCGTTCCATTCTAATCCATGGTTCCCAATGTTCTCCAGTTTTTTTGAGTTAAATCTTAGCCTTAAAATCTTCTATGGTAACATTAGAGAATGTATTGTCTTTTCTGTAGAACGTCTCCGAGTCCATATAGAACGCATCGACTTCGTCTTCGTCATAGCTTTATGTCGGTGCGTTAACGAAGAAGGTTGTCAAAGCCGGCATTGATCCACATCTCTTCAACCGCAAACGTCCGATTCTAATTGTTAGTTGTTCGAATGAATGTTCATGGACAAACTGGTGTTGACGCGAACCCCGACTCCGCTGACTCCTCCAGCCAGATCGTCGCCTTAGTCCTTCGCGATTTAGGCAGTGGCCCTGAGATTTTTTGGCAATCTCTCATTGCTCGGCCTACCCGCCGCTGTGGTATGGTGAGCTCTTTCTGGGTAAAAAAAATATTGCTCACTTATTTCACTGTGTTTAGCGTTTGATGCCCACGCATAGCTTGCTGAACTCTAAACGTTGGTTTTGGGCATACTCGCGAGTACCTTGCCAGTCTCTTCTAGAGTAGGCGAGGGAGCTTATTTGTTGGACGCAACTTCCAGCCGCTTCCCATATGTTTTCCTCTTACTTCATTGCAATCTTTTAGCCTAATTCATATGTACGATAAAATCTGCTCCATCCCCTAAAACCAGCTGCATCTCAGGTAAGCATAAGGTACATACCACCTATCCGCCACCTCGTAGCGCGTCACGTTGCATCGCGACAAACCGTCATGAGCTCTCTCTATGAGGGAAATGCGCATGTTATTGCCATGTTATTGTTATGCTATGCGGCCAGAGTTATTTTGGATCATAGAAACAATGTCTCGGTTCATAGCTAGGCCATCGAAAGTATATAAGCAAATAATACACTGTTTTCTCGATGGCCAAACGCGAAGTTGTTTACTGCAAGATTTGTTTATTACTATGGCTGACGTTTGGGCTGTTTCATCTTTGGATAAACTCCAAAAATCCAAAAACGAACTGCAAGGAGGAGTGCAATGTGACCATGTGTGATCTCGAGTTATTTCTCAGGTTAACTTTTTGGTCCGAGTCGCGCATGTTTTCACCCATGTAAGACGCTGTGCTGTTCAGCTCCGATAGTAACTGGAGGTCTTAAGAACAATAAAACAGTGAGTGTTTAAAAGAAGCTGTTCACTATACGAATAATCATTTATGTATTAAATTTTGACTGCTGAGGTTATGCTACTCTTTGACAGAGTAGATTGCGTCCCAATTTGCCTCTTCCAGGCTCTGAAGCGAGAGACTCATAACATAAGTCAGTATTATGCTGAATATATCTTGCTGTTTGTCTCCAGAAACACTCGAGCTGATACGCCAGCGTGGAATCGCACGAGCTGCAGGCAACAGCGAACTAACGTCCAAACTTGCAAAGCACTGCAGACAGGCGACAAAAGAAGATCTTAGAGAGAGAAGAGCAGCAGTAATGGCACGAAGCTGCAGAGGCTGGGAAAAGCATTGGCAAAGCCCACCGAAGCTTCACCAATTACAAGACCAAAATGACTGCTCTCCAGCGCTCAGACGGAACAGTTACAGCGTCCAGAAAGGCAATGGTGAAAATCATTCATGAATACTATTCGGATCTCTTCGTTAGCCACGTCCACCTTCCGTCATATGAAATAAAGGAGGATGGATATGTTGTACCACTGGTTCTCCCTTCCGAAATGCGACATGCCATTTCGTCTGTGAAAAATCGAACAGCACCAGGTCCGTAGAGGATAAGACCAGAACACCTGAAGAACCTTCCGCCAGTCCTCGTAAGCACACTGGCTCGGCTCTTCACACGTTACCTGTCTGAATCCAAGGTCTCTACTCAGTGGAAGATCAGCAAGACCGTATTATTATTCAAAAAGGGTGACCTACACGATATCGGCAAGTATCACCCAATCTGCTTACTGTCTGTCGTCTACAAACTTTTCATTCCAGTCATCCTAAACAGTAATGGCAGAACACTAGACGAAGAACAGTCACGTGAGCAATTAGAGTTGCGAAAAGGCTTTAGTACGAAGGACCACATCCACACGGTAACAAGACTCATTGAAGTATCGCGGGAGTAAAAAGACCGCTCTGTCTCACTTTCATCGGTTTACAAAAGGCCTTTGATTTAGTTGCGATAGAAGTAGCCATGGAAGCCCTTGACAGTCAAGGAGTCCCTACTCAGTGCAGAGAGATCCTTCGTGAGCTGTGCAAAAATTTCGCAACCAAGGTATCAGCATTCTACAACGATATTATTAATATTGACGTCAAAAGAGGTGTTAGGTAAGGCAACACCATCTCGTCAAAATTATTTACCGTCACTCTCCAGAACGTCATGCGAACATTGGAATGGGATAATATGGGAGTGAAAATCGATTGTCGGCAGTTATATCATCTTCGCTTTGCTGATAACATAGTCCTTATAACACCAAACATTAGCCAAGCGGAACGTATGCTTGTCGACTTTGATAAAGCCTGTAGAAAGATTGGTCTTCGACTAAATCTTACAAAAACGATGTTCATGAGGAACGGATTGGTTTCGTATACCCCATTCACGCTCAACGGAACGAATGTCTCTGAATGCTCCAGTTATACCTATCTAGGCCGGGAAATCAATACGATGAACGACCTAGCCCCAGAGCTAAGCAGAAGGAAACGAGCGGGTTGGGGAGCTTTGAAGAGCATCGAGAATGTAGTGACGAGAACCAAGAACACCCGACTCCGTGCCCACTTTTTCGACTCACCGGTACTTCTTGCCCTAACGTATTCGTCAGAAACCTGGTAGCTGCGTAAGTAGGACGGAAGATCATTCAGCGTTATTGAACGCGCAGTCGAAAGGACGATGCTAGGAGTATCCCGCTTCACAAAAGTAACTCATGGGATCCGGAACTCCGACCTGCTCAGCGATCAAAAAAAAAGATGCCGTTCTTTACACCAAACAGTCGAAAATAAGATGGGCCGGACACATAATGCGTATGAACGGCAACCGATGGACAAGAGCCGTTATTGATTGGATTCCGTGAGATGTTAAACGGAAGGAAGGAAGGAAGGCCACCGACCCGATGGTCAGAGTTCTACACAAAGAGCCTTGAAGAAAGATATGATGCTCGACGAGTCCTAGATCGAGCAGAACCCACTGAGCTACCCTTGCAAGCGGCAGGGAACAATAGAGGATTTACTAGCGCCCTCTCGAGTCACTCGGCGATCAATGGAGCTACAGGTGATACAGGTGATATCTTGCTGTTACAACCTCGTGCTTGCCAATCAGTAAAACAGTGTATTTTTGATCAATGTTGAGGTTAAAAGAAAGTCTTTCCTGTGCCACATAAACAAATTATGCATTTATTCACCTTTTCGATGTTACCAACTGGGTGGAATTCATAGCGCATACATATGGGTTCGATCAACAGCGGACACTTTACTATCGTATTTTTGTCTTTTAAATAGTATCTTGGATAATTTATAATTCTTAAAACTGGCTCGGATTTTGCAGTACGATTGCGTTGATACGCAAGCGGACACAACGATGTCGCGAAAAACGATGCTCTGGACGTGGCCAATGTGTTCTTCCGGAGCGGGCCTCTCAGTTCGGTTATTCTGTGATACATTCTGTATTAACTGATTTCTATCCTTTGGTTTATCAGACATCACACTCTATCACTGTATTTTTTTGATAGACTGAGTTTTACCTTCTAGAAAAGTTTCTCGTCTTCTGAAAAAAAGTGCTCATTTTTATAGTTAATAGTGAATTTTGATGCACGTACATAGATGGTTGCCATTAGAAATCCAACCTGAAATCTGTCGCCATTCACTGAGGGGTTCAGCGCCAGCGGTGAACCACGGGGTTCTTTTTGCGCTCGTCCGTCATTTGCCAAAGTTCGCAAAAAACTTGTAATTACTAGAAGCCCAACACTAAAGAAAATATTAGCTTTCTATTTTCTGCTTACTATAATTTTTCGCGATAGTGTATGATGCGAAATACAACCACAATGTTGCTGAAATATTCGCAAAAACTAGACCCCCGGCCAGACCGAAGGCACGATTACCCTTTTCGGGAGCTCGCGTATTACACACTGCACCACGAAGGCCCTTGCTTTGCATTTCTCTCAGCTAGTTCTACACCTAACGCTACCATTAGCAATCTTAAAATAATGTTTTAAATGATCGCTCTCGATAGACTTAATGTCATCATATAAAAGTTATTCAGATGCACATTTCGAATGCCACCCGAGAATTATGTTTGTAATTGCGATCCGTCTTTTACTGGGAACGAGTGTCTGTTACGAAAACATTTCGAATGGCATTATAATGGTAGTACCGGAACTGCCACTACCTTTGGCACACATCTAAAAGGAAGGCGCCGGAGACTACACAGACGACGACGAATCAAAAAGATTCCCTTCTTCAAGGTTTGGTCGTTGTTATAAACCTTTATTTTAAAATAATTGCAGCAATAACTGTCTGTTGTTGTTGCTGATAAGTGATGTTCCAACCACTTTCGTGTATGAATCTACCTAGTCTTGCTGAAGCTATCGCAGCTCCATTCTCATTGACAAACTTATGGATGCTAGTTTGACGCACTATGGATTTCGAACTCAATAGGCCGTTTCTGTATTCTAATGAGCAAACAGAAAAAATCTCTTGGCGTTGATCAATCCTAGAGGGATGCACCGTGTATTCGTCCTCACTAATCATCTTTGGAGGTGATTGAACGCATATCTATCCTTTATAATTATTCACGGTGGCCTACCAATGTATCGAGTCAGTGCTACTATCCTTCCAGACAAGTCTGGTAACAATTTGCCGACTCAGGAGGGGTAGAGGTGGGTTGGTGGGTCAAGGCGCGGTGATCGATCCCATGTCCATTGTAGGACGCCTCCGACCACTGATCACTTGCGCCCTTAAGAGCAACAACGTAAGGACTCCTCAACGCAAACATAAAGTTATAAAATATTTGTCTAGCGTTCGTTGACTCTTCACCAGGCTTACATCTTTTCAAAGCTCGAAAAGATCTTATTGCCCTGTAGCTTATAGACCAAATATTCCTTTACTAACGCAAAGGTCGCAGATGTCATGGCTCATTCAGCGAATAAAGGGTAGAATGTTCAGTGTTGATTAATCCCTGAGGAGTGCTTTCGGCTCCATTAAGAGGAATGAGTGCACATTTGTCCTAAATAATGACTTGCGGTTGCTGACCGATGTGTAAAATCACTCTCTTACCTTCCCAGATAGGGCCAGATATGCACTCACTCAACTCTGCAAAACTTACTGAAGTCGAATGCATGGCTCATCCCTTAAAGATTCATGCTTTACGCTTTTACAGCTATGGACACAGTTCTATTTAAGAACTTAACCATAATCACTGGCAATATAGTCGAAAAAATGATGGCGCTCGATTTCAGGTGTACGGTGAAGCTAGGTCACGTAGCGAAGACGGTCAACCTGCGAATGAAAATACTGTGGTAATGGGCGTTATCACATCAACGCCGTCTAGTGAAATCGTGGATGTTGATCGCCAGCTGTCATTTCCGACAATGAGCGCGACAAAGCCGAGCGGTTTTCCTGTTCCTGTAAACTTTCCACCGACATTGATGCCGACGTTAGCACCAGCTGATGTCACGACATCGGACGCTATCTTCCGATTAACTCCAATACCTTTAGACTTCCGATTAGTTTGATTTAACGTCTTCCTTTTAACAGTTATCATTTTCATTCATGTTTAATAGTGATATACGCGAGCTCCAACCAGCAAGTACAAGTGATTTCATGTAAGTTTTTGAAGGCCCATTTTCATCTTAGACGGGGTAATTTCAATTATTGCTTATACCTCTTAGAAAATTGTTTGCTTTTAAGCTCTTAATAATTCAAAACTGAAGACGTGTAGTTGCCACTCCTTAATTTTTTTGTCCCGATTCCACTGAAAGTCAAAACAAGGCCGTAATCCTACAAATCACAGAGGCAATTTCTTAACCTAAGTTCAAACTAAGAACTGTGTTAAAACGATTTTGAATATCCCTATGTCTGAGTTAAGGAGAGACAACACTAGAGACCTAACATTTCCCAAAGGGTTGTATTATACAGTTAGCTCCATTTTTGTTGTGAACCTATTGTTACCTTGACCGTTAAAGGGTCATAGTTAAAAATCTTTTTTCTTACATTATTATTGGAAGAAATACACATCATTTTTGTTTAAAACAGGTAAATGATATAAGTGGAACAAAAATGTGCTTGGAATAGAGGTTTTTCTTCATCGTGTGCGATGTGAATCAGTGAATCGTGAAAGCAACGATGGCAGGTGAGTTTAGCAGCGCCGCTTCTAGTCACCTACGGACGATTTCGGGAATACAGTGCCTTGTTACAACAGTAAGATCACCTATCTTCTGTACTTAGATACTTCCTTAAATGGCTTATTTTCACATCACGTCCGTATCCCATCACTTCTACTCGTTCAGATGTCTCGAAGCCGACATCCGTTAAGGCGGTTATGTTACCACGTGATTTCGGCTTAATGACCTTAGAGCTTATTCCACCTGTAAAGTTTATGCGTGTAACAAATATCTGTGCTTCGTAATACGTTTCAATTGCTCGAAAAGTACGACGAGCGTTATACTTTCTTCACGAGACTCTTTTAGTTCTGCAATTCTTGACTAGGCGTTAACACATAGTGGGTGTTTGGAAAGTACATGATCGTCTTTGGTTGGCGCTTAACCGTTCATCGTTCGCCAACCTCTGAGGTCGACGTCGGCATATTCCTTCGCAACTAACCATCTACGATTCCCATACTTCGTATAAGGCGATCGATCTGACGACTACTACGCTACGAACGAAGACTTGGCTTTTATGCCGTCAAACTGAACTGTAGAAGTGCTACTGTATTCCGCTTAGAGTTGTGCGGTCTGTAGAAATAACGTGCCATCGGTTATTTTTGTGTCATTTTAACGACATTACTTTGTATTTTCATTAACCATCATTTTCCTTGACTGAATAATCTGTTTTTTGCTTTAAATACAACAATATATAGCAATGTGGTCGCTGCATTTGAATTCTAGTTCGATGAAAAATTCTGGACTCTGGTTTGATATTTTACTTGAACAGATTGGTGAATTCAAGTTTGGTAACTCGAACCTAGTCACATTGTGGTATCTCACTGTATTCATTCTATAATACATCTGTATGTAGTACATATATGATAAAACCCTACTGAATTTTCTATGTTTCTCGATTTTTTGCCCTATTTTTTCTTTCGTCAGTAAAGTGCTTTATGGCTGTGTGTATGTAGCTCAGTATGTGACCAAAAAGCAGAAACTGATGTGAGCAACACGGATAAGGTGAGGTGCTGCTTTCCGTGGAAGAACGCTCGTCATCCATCTTCTCGTTCAGTAACATCCGCTACTAGTACTTAGAGACTTTGATGAGTTATCTTAATTAGTAGGTGCTGTTTCATCGTCTTTATAGGTTTTGAAAAAGTTCCATCAACAGCGCAGTTGTCTCTATGGATCGGAAAGAGGTTCCACTTCCACACATTGCAGCAAACTTCACGATTTCGGTATTGGCTTATATGAGGTGGGACATCAATGACCGATCTTCATGAACTACATGAAATCATGCGAGCGCCATTAAAGTGACCATTCGTTTTGTAATTTATTAGTAAGCCAAGATTTCTTTCCCTGGAGTCTCGAGAGCCGTGCTAGAGTTTCCCAGATTCCCACTTCATGCTAGATAGTGATATTGCTGTTGCCATTAATGTAATGGTGTTTGACAATGATTTGCTGCTAATCGCGTTTCCAGATGAAAATGTCGAGCTCGTTCTCAGTCTAGTGGCAGGTGTTTGGGTGTAGTCTGCAATAATTTCCCGCCTCACCGTGGATAGATAGTATTTTGGCCACCGAACTGCAATGTAAAGCAGGAGATCAAACCTTCCAAACAGATCATTTGTACTAAAAATTAGTTTATTAAGAACGGTTCCACATATGTGGCCGTGGTAGAGCGGTAGAACCGTGTTTCATAATGGTAATGAAATTACACAACCTAAAAATACACGACCTCACAGATCTAACAGTAAGATGAAATCTATGGAACATATGCTGACTGCTATATTTAGTTACAACTTAAATATCAGTCGTATTTCTCTTTGTGTAACAAGATCGTGGAGTGATGAAGGAATTGCAGTTGTCAAAGATGTCATACATAGTCACTGGCTACAGTTATTAGCTCAATCCCATGCTGAGACAATCCCATCTTTCTGCCTTCGAAAAATTTTTGCCAGTATCGTCTAGTAAAAGGTTTTTTACGATAGAAGAAAGCCGATGACAGCCTACGATGAAGACCTAGGAACGATCTTGGAGAGCTAGCGTTGAGCCAAGGCGAATCAACCCAGCCTCCTTTGAACGACCATTCATTGGGAAAACAAACTCTCTAGTCTGTAGTGAAACGAGCTAAACAAAAGAAGTTTTGAGATCTGCATAACATGGTTGAAGGCAGTCATGTGAATAAACGTACTTGTTTTAGGTTTCCTAAATTTTTAAGTCTCCGCTGTGAATGAAAAGTGCTCAAAGAACAGAGTGGATTGTCCGCAAAGTTATTGAAGCTGAAAACGAATTCAAATTTTCTTCACAGACGGTTAGGAATCTTGGTCGTTCTGCAAGAAATCAGAACGGAAAACTTCTCTCTAATTCATAAGAGCTGGTGACTGACAAAGACGAAATGAAGCGGTATGCTTTCTTTCAGGAATTTAGGAAAAAGAGCTTCCCACTACAGTAGCGTAGTCGTAGAATGAAGAAAGTGCGGGGCCCATACGATTTTTCGTGAAGATTGATCATGCAAGTACAAGTAGCACTTATGAAAAAGTACAGTTTTCTAATACTTGGCTGTAGTTTTATTCAGTTTATTAAGAAATTTGGTGACCAATAACACTATTTCAATTTTCCGTTAAAGGTTATGATCGCTTCTCACGTTTAAGCGACTAGAAGGTGTCCGCTCATTTGTCGATCGACTCAGCTTTCAACCATCCATAACGGGAAATTTTTCTCAATCACAGTATCGTTTTGTATTAGCAGTTAAAAAAAAATAAAGTGCTTCGATGTTAATCATAATGAATGTGCTGTGCATTCAACTCTATTCGTAGCACCATAGAAATGCATGTGTTGTTGCACGTTTAGCACTCATTATGACTTTTGGAGCCTACTGGTGTTTCGAGACACTGTTCTCATCTTCTGTGAAAGACTGGTGACAGGTGGCAATACCCGAGGAGGTAAAGGGTATGGTTTCTACGAGGCTCGATGCCGAACCAAAGACGTCTGTAGCACCCAGTGGCGAAGTGACCGCGCTACGGAAATAATACTCGCATACCACTTTAAATCAACACAACTCAACTCATAGTGGATTTTATTCATATATTTATTTTATTTTATTTTAAAAATAACGTTTAATTTTTATTTACTGCCGGTTATTATTTTTTTATTGCCAAGACATTGCTTGAAATACAGCCAAAATGATAGTGAGATTTCAGCAAAACCCAGAATCCCAGGTGAGCTTCAAATCCACGATTTCCATTTCCGAAGGTCCACGTGTTACGTGTTATTGTGCTTGCAATAAAAATTATTGGGTTCTAAAAATCTTTGCTTGTAGCACACGATTCTTCTAACTCTAGAAAAAAAGGTAAGGCTCTGAGCATTGATCAAGGGATACGCCATGCATTCGACTTCATTAAACATCGTTAGAGGTGAATGAACGCATATCTGGCCTATATAATAGCTCCAGGTAGTCTACCGATGTATCGAGCCGGTGCTGCTGTTCTCCCAGACAAGTCTGGTACCAATTTGCCAACGCCGGAGGGATGAAAGTCGATTCCGCGTGGGTGTTGAAGAGCGCCTCCGACCACTGCGCCGTATTCGCCCTTATTCGTACTCTACGACGACAAAATTATGGCCTTCCAGAGATCAAGACATACATTTATCCCACTTTTTTCCTTGAAGCTTCTATTCCGAAAATTTTGCGAAATATAATTACTATAATGCTGAGATATTTGCAAAACTCCGAACCGCAGGTGCCTGCAATGGAGAACGAACATGCTGTTGTCCTTTCTGGGGAGTAACGCGTTCACCACCACACCATGCGTGTCCATTGCTTCGCCTCTCTTTCAGCCATCAGTAATCACCCGTCAACGGACTTGATCTGGGGAGCTCTCATCGGCATTGAACCCAGTTAAGCTGAGGCTGTAGTCGAAATCACAATGTTTTGCTTTGGTGGAGGGCCCCGCATGGTGAGACGGTGAACGCCTTACTCCCAGGAAAGGACAATAGCGCGTTCGTTGCCCACAATAGACACCTGCGGTCTAGAGTTTTGCAAATATCTCAGCAACGATGTGGCTGTATTTCGCTTAGTACCCTGCGGTGAAAGCTGTGGTAGACAGAAAATAAAAGGTAAAACATAACTATCGCTTCAGCTTAACTGAGTTCAATGCCGATTTGGGCTTCCCAGATCAATTCCGTTGACGGGTGATTGCTGAAGGCAAAAGATCGATACAACTAGCTGAGAGACAGGCCAAACGGAGGAACCGCATGGTGTGGTGGCCAACACGTTACACCCCGGAAAGGACAATAGCGCGTTCGTTCCTCACCGCAGAACCTGCGGTCCGGAGTTTTGCAATTATCTCAGCATTATAGTATTCATTGAAATA